CTGTTCCTTCCAGTTGGTAGCACTGAAGTCTGTGTGTCATCTTCACCGAACGACCAAGGAAAAGGTACGATTTCCTCCAAGTTTGCAGCCAAGATTGGTAATTGCCTTGCTCTTAATGTTGCGTAACTGTTAGCAAGGCTTCAGCCAAGCATTAATGAATTTTACCAGAACTTCATTTTTTAATGAGCATCATTAATCGTTAGTCAGGCATGTTCCAGCCCACACTTTGCTAAAGCGGAGGATTGCCAACTGTGTTGTGCTATGAAAACAGCATATTTCCCCCCAGATTTTTCTGATAAAACAAAGCGGTGTTTAAAAACAATCCTTAGAAGTGTTCAAGTCATTATTTGATTTTGCTAGATGTTTGAGAGGAATTTGGACTGCTTCTGCATCACTTTACAACTTTTCTCTATGCGATGTTGCCTTTAGCCTTAAATACATGATCATTTTCTGACCATAAAACTGGAGCTAAAAGATATTCTCCAAACCCTTTAATAAAGGGGTTTTTTTTTGTTTCTGTATAATGTAGAATTTTGCAAAATTGCCAAAGTACCACAAAATTCTACAATATTTACTCTTGTTAAAATACACAAACATGCACCAATTGATGTATTGTACTGTCGAAGGCTTTCATGGCTAAAATCACTGGATTGTTGTTGGTTTTTTGGGTTGTATGGCCATGTTCTGGAAGCATTTTCTCCTGATTTTTCACCTGCATCTATGGCAAACATCCTCAGAGGTTGTGAGGTTGTGGCCATATAGCCCGAAAAATCTACAACAACCCAATTGATGTATTATTTGGAAGACTAGAGAGAAGGAATGGAGATATTGCAATCTAAACAAAAAATATGGCTCCCAATAGAATTCATTTCTCAGACTTCTAGCATGGCAGAGAGTGAGATACTGAAATGTTCACAATTAGAATCTGTGCTGTGTTTGCATTTCCTTGGAAAGTTTGCCTGCTCCTTTTATTTGAATGTTTCAACTGCATTTCTAAATCCTGAAATAAAGTTTTAAACTAATGCTAGAAATTTGGGGATTGGACGATGATAACTTAATTTATATTCCACTTTCCTCTTAACAATGGGACTCATAGAATCATAGTTGGAAGAGACCTTGTGGGCCATCCAGTCCAACCCCGTCATGAAGCAGGAAAATTGCATTCAAAGCACCCCCGACAGATGGCCAGCCAGCCTCTGTTTAAAAGCCTCTAAAGAAGGACCCTCCACCACTCTCGGGGCCAGAGAGTACCACTGTTGAACAGCTCTCAAAGTTAGGAAGTTCTTCTTCATGTTCACATGGAATCTCCTTTCCTGTAATTTGAAACCATTGTTCCATGTCCCAGTATCCAGGGGAGCAAAAAACAAGCCTGCTCATGTATTTATACATGGCTACAATGTCTCCTCTCTTCTTTCTTCTCTGAAGGCTAAACATGCCCATCCCTTTAAGCAGCTCCTCATAGGGCTTGTTCTCCAGACCCTTGATCATTTTAGTCGCCCTCCTCTGGATACACTCCAGCTTGTCAACATCTCCCTTCAATTGTGGTGCCCAGAATTGGACACAGTATTCCAGATGTGGTCTAAGCAAACACAGAATTAAGTAAACCATAACATACAAACAATCTACAAACCCACCAAGAAAATCCAACAAATGCTACGTTCAGCAAAGGACAAGAGGGATCCTCTCACCTCTGCAGGAGTCTACCGTATACCATGCAGTGTGGACAAGTCTACATAGGGACCACCAAACGCAGCGCCCAGACACGCATCAAGGAACATGAAAGGCACTGCAGACTACTTCAACCAGAGAAGTCAGCCATAGCAGAGCACCTGATGAACCAGCCTGGACACAACATATTATTTGAGAACACAGAAATGCTGGACCACACCAACAACCACCATGTCAGACTACACAGAGAAGCCATTGAAATCCACAAGCATGTGGACAATTTCAACAGAAAGGAAGAGACCATGAAAATGAACAAAATCTGGCTACCAGTATTAAAAAACTCTAAAATTATAACAGCTAAACAACAGAGAGGAAAAACCAGGCACAGATTAACACCTCCCAGCAAGAGATTTTCCCAGGCTCAGGCAGGCCTTCAAATGCTAATGAAGGTGGTCAGCTAAACATTCACACCTAACTGCAGCAGGGAAGAGCTCCTTGCCCCACCCCAGCCATTCCACAGATATATAAACCCATTGTCCTAATTCCAACAGACCTCACACCTCAGAGGATGCTTGCCATAGATGCAGGCGAAACGTCAGGAGAAATGCCTCTAGAACATGGCTCTATAGCCCGAAAAAACCCACAAGAACCTCATAATATGTTTGTTATTTTATCTCAATTAATAAACAACTTGAATTTTGGAATTAGTTTAATGATGCTTTAGGGTCACCAAATCGATATCATGGCTAAATGGGGATTTGAATCTGGTCCTCCCGGTCCTAGCACAGCACTATTTAGATTAAAAAAATCTGCCAAGGTTTTGTATCCAGATGATGATGCTAGAAAGGAAGTGCACTATGACATCTGCATAACTTGGGGAGGGGGAGTGGGGCTCAGCTTAGCTAGAGAAACGCTTTAGAACTCAAAAAGGCTTCTATGCATTGCACTCCTTCTGAGCTCTTGTCTAGAGAATGCTAGAGAGGCACTTTAGGTTTCATTTATAACACTTACTTACAACATTCTCAATGTGTTGTTTAAAATAACTTATTGTCATACACACTATTGATCCAGCTTTTTTAGGATTTTGTTTTGCTAGCATCCCAGAAATCCTAACCTGGATCTTCTACTTATTCAAAGCATGCACTGTGCTACTTCCGAGCCCTTTCCATAGGACAAGAATGCAAAGTTAGAGATAGGGGGTGGCTATCGACCACTGGCAATCATCTTTCAGAATTCCAGAAGTTGTGGTTGTTTATATCCCACTTTTTCTCTCCACAAGGAGACCCAAAGGCAGCTTACATTAAAAGCAATCATTACTCCCACCTTAAAAAAAAAGTCATGGAAAAAAGTGACTTGTGGGGTGCCACTGGGTTTTGCCCCGAGTTCATTATTATTCAACGCTTAGCTTAAAAAACAGAACACACACAAAAAATATATAGAGGAGTCTTGATAGGCCACAAGCTGAACATAAATCAACAGAGTGATATAGTAAAGCCAATGTGATTCTAGGGTATATACCTAGAAGTATAATGTCTAGATCAAAGCAAGTAATTCTGCTTTGGTCAGACCTCGCCTGGAGTACTATGTCCAGTTCTGGGGACTGGAATTCGGCAGAGGGTTGGACTGGATGGCCCATGAGGTCTCTTCCAACTCTTTGATTCTATGAATCCAAGAAAGACATCGACAAGTTCAAATGTGTTCAGAGAAGGGCAAAATGGTAAACACCAAGACACACAGTATGAGGAGCAGCTAAGGGTGCTCCTTAGTTGAAGGCTTTCATGGACAGAATCACTGGGTTGTTTTTGGGCTGTATGGCCATGTTCCAGAAGCATTCTCTCCTGATGTTTCATCTACATCTATGGCAGGCATCCTGATGTTGTGAGGAGCAGGGTTTGTTTAACCTGGGGAGGTTAAGATGGCCGTGTTTAAATACTGGAAAGGATGTCCTATTAAGGAGACAAGCTTGTCTTCTGCTGCTCATAAAATTAGAACATGGAGCAAAGGATTCTAACTGCAGGAAAAGAGATTCCACCTACACATTAGGAAGAACGTCATGATAGAACTGTTCAGCAGTGGAGGATGCTGCCTCAGAGTGTGGTGGTCTCTTACTCAGGAGGGTTTAAAACAGCAACTAAATGCAGGCAATCCCCAAGTTACAAACATCCGATTTACAAATAATATTATAATAACTTTATTCTTGTATCCTGCCACCATCTCCCTGAAGGGACTCGGGGTGGCCTACACACAGCACAAGAACAGAACATGAAAACAATGTAAAAATACAATTAAACATATAAGCATGAAACAACACTTAACAATTAAAAACAGCTCTTGTTACCTATGGGGCAAGCAATTGAACTGGGAATGGAAGTGCAATGCTGTAACTGTGAGAAGTCATGGGATATAGTGTGAGGCTGTGTAACAATTACGTAGGGCAGCTAGGGACTAGGTGTTCTCAAAAGCTTGTTTAAACAGCCAGGTCTACAGATCCCTAAGGAAAGACAGTGTTGTGGCTTGCCTAATCCCCATGGTGAGGACGTTCCAGAGCTGGGGGGCCACCACAGAGAAGGCCATTTCCCTCAGTGGCGGGACCACGCTTGTGACAGTGGTGGGACCGCAAGGAGGGCCTCCCGGCAGATCTTAGCAGCCGCACCGGTTCTTAAAGGGGGATGTGGTCATGAAGATAGGCTGGACCCGAACCCAAACAACTCATAATTAAGAGCACGAATTGAGAGAAATTTACCCCTAGAAAAGGAATTTACTCCTGAGAGTTATCATGGGGAAAATGCTTCTCCACTGATGCTTTATCGCCAATCCTTTTTTCCACAAGCCTTTTTTTTTTTTCAAAATTCAATTCTCACAGGGACAGAGAGTGAGGTGAAATCTTCTGAACAGGCGCATAGACAGCAAAACAAACATAGGGGAGGGTTAACCCTTCCCTATGCTATCCAAACCTAAAGAATATAATTGTGTGGGGGGGGGGGGGGGGGGGGGGGGGGGGGGATGTTGAATGCTCTCATTAAGGAGGCCAGACTTGGTGGAGGTGGTTGACAAGGGCGGAGCTGCAGGCTATGGAAGGCTGCTGTGGGGGGGGAGTGGTGGAGTTACACTTGAAAAATGTACCTGTTCCAACTTACATACAAATTCAACTTAAGAACAAAACTACAGAACCTATCTTGTTTGTAACTTGAGGACTGCCTGTACTATCCTTGAAAGATTGCATTTGGTGAAAAGTGGCTTTTTCTGAGGAACATCTTGCACCAGAAAAAAAAAAGATTGTATGTTGTATGAACAGCTGTCAATAAAATCACCACTGGAATAAAAACCACTAGTACAGTTAGAAACCAGCTTTATTGTTACAACCAATTTTGAAATATTTACATAATATAAATCTCTTTTCAAGATACATTCCTTCATTGAAATCAATGGTAAAAGGCCTTGTTACATAGCTTCAACAATGCTTAGCTTAAAAAGAAAAGAAAAAACATTTCACTCCAATACAAGCCAATGAACAGAATGCACAGTTTAATTCCATTCATAACACACAGATGAGGTTACCTTTCCCTTTCTTCAGACAGGCAAACCTTTCACAGGACAAGATTGGACTCAACAGACATAGGTTTCAAAGTGTAATGAGATGACAAAAAGGTCCAGGACGTTCTCCTTGTGCACCGTTCTCAGAGGGATATTAACAGCAGGCCTCAAGATGAAACCAGTAAACTGCTAAATGCGAAGTTTAATTACCTGAGGTACCAGAAGATCTTCAGTGCTGAGACTATTTGCAACAAATATAAAGCAGCCTGACACAATTATGGTCTACCTTTGCAAAAGGATAACTGTATACAAAGGACATTCCAGAATGTGCTGAGAAGTTTGGTTATACTCGCCAGAGATTAATGAAGTCCAGGTAGTACCTTTAATGTACCTTACAAATGTCTATTACAGACCCTATTTTTCCCACAGATGTTGCTCTTGACAGCATTTTGTCTTGTCCTCAAGAGTATATCACCTTGCAGCCTAAGATTGGTCTCCAACACTATTAAGCTGAGCTTTATTAGTCCCAAGCAGAATAGCCCTATGGTGTTAAAAGGTGAGTAAAAGACAAATTCCATGTATTTAATGAGTCAACTCTAGTTGGGACTAACAGGATTCAAGACTTTACAATTTCTGCAGTAATTCTAGTTTCAATATTGTACAAGTATATTTGCTAGTCACTTTCATATCCAGTCTGTGAATTAGTACTGGCCTTATCCAGATGGAGAGCAATGTTTGATTAAGGAACCTGTCATCCAGGCATCATAATCTAGGTTCCAGAGTCCAAGAGGTTGTCAAAGATTTTGCTACAAGTGCCCAGAATTTTGCTTTTTTTAACTTCTAATTCTAGGCAAATCTTTATTCACCTTTTAAAAGTATAAGAGCTCAGCAAACTCTAGTGCTATAAGAAAAAGTAAAGATTTGTTGAGATTGAACAATCAGAACTAATTGAAAAGTTGCAATTTGGGGGAAATAAGGATGGTAACACACTAACAGAATTTTTTGGTGAAAACCAGTTTGAATTTAGCTAAAGAGCATTTTAATTAATCACTATGTTAGTATGTATTATTTTCATTAAAATGTACTATTTACCTTACCACATTTCAGAATCTTCTTAATTCAAGGTCTAGAATTTAATATCCTTGCTCCATATGAGCTAGGATATTATTTGTTCATAATTTTGACAACGAGAAGTCTATTGGATGTGGTATCAAAAAGTAGGGAGCCAAATTAAATGGACACTGAACTATTTTTGGATGAACTATGGACATAGCTATGTGGAAGGGCAGGAGAAGAAGGCCAAATCTGGGGCTGAAGAGAAGTGGAAATAATCCCATATGACTAAATGAGCATTAAGAGCTGGGTTCACTGAAATATAATATTGGTTTCTTTGAAAATGCTACAGGGTTAACAACAACCAGCTTCTAAATGAGACGAAGGCCTTATTTAAGCAAGAGGACTGATTTAGAAATCTGAGTCTATATTTTTTTGCTATGGTAGAAAGATAACCCTGAATGCATGCAACTCCAGCAGCCCCCACAAACTGGCCAATATTTTCCCCTCCAGAAAGTCAATGTGCAACAACAGGGATAACAACAGATATGTAATGCATCCTTAAACAGTTAACAGGGATAAAATAGGGGGGGGGGGGGGACCATCTGAAGTTCTTAAAAAACTTTCCATTTACTTTTTAGTCTCTTTTCTGCACGGACATGCCACAGAAACATAACTTAGCAACTTCTTTTGCCTAAAAAGCTTTCATAATCTTTACTCCCAAAAAGTTAATTTTGTTATGAGAGTAACATGCACATTTTTCAGCAAAATCCAACTATCTAGGCACACCTCTAAGTTGGCCTCAGAGTAAAACCTTATCATTTATCTTCAAACAAGAAAAGGGGCTTTTTGTTGAACGGTCCAATCTGCTGCTTACTGGAATAGTGGCCATTTTCATGAACTCACTTGCAGACTGAATATTTCCTCTGGTGTAAGTCAAGCAGACACTACAGGCACAATGGAAAGGCTGCATTATGAAAGCTAATGTTTAGTTCCAGGTACTATATCCTTTGGCTCCCCAACAGTTTACCCTTGAGTGTGGTCAATTTAACAATGAAAGGTCAGCACATGTCAAGAACTGGATTTTTCTTTACATCAACATTTCTACAAAAGGAGAGTACAATGAAATACATAAATTCATAAATGCAAGGTACCATACATTTCACACTAATTTACAAATGGTTATTTACACTATTTTATATACACAGTCTGACCCGGTTACCATAAATCAGATAAGCTAAGTGTTCTACAAAATTCACATTGAGAACCCCAGGCCAGAGTTCAAAATAACCCCTCTCTCAATTTATAAGCCAATGCCAATTCCAATTCCTAGAAAGATGTAATGTCTGTACCAATCAGGTATGATGGTTCAACTGGTCTGATTGCCGGGTGAAATCTTCAAATGCTTCTGCTTTACAAAAGCTACTAGGCCACCATGGTCTGTAGGCTGATGTTGCGCAGAACCGAATGCCATTGCTAATGACCCTGTTTCTACTTCCAGTATCCTGCTGCAGTGTCACTGGTGATGGCATTCAAAATCTTTAGTTTAATAGTAAAGGCAACAGAACAGTTTCTTGGCAAGTCACAGCTGGAATTACATAAGGTTGTTTCTAGAGCTCCAGAAAAAAAAGTTCAAGTACCTGATGAAACATATGAATGACATGGGAACAGTGTTATCTTCTAAGAGAAGATCTTCTCAAGAACTCATTGTAAAATGGGGACAAGATAGTCTCAGTCGATGGAAGGGATGAAGCCATTTTATAAGGAAACAAGATGTAACCTTCCATTCTCTAAATTAAGCGACATCCACTAGTTTTCAAACTCATATGTTCATAATTGTGTTCTAGATGTCTTCAAGTAACTTCAACTGTTTCTGCTTTGGAATATGTTAAAAATATAGCAATATGAGGTTGACATCTAGCCAGTAGATTAAATTAGACTTCCTTTAATGAAAAAGTCATAATCTCAAGTCTTACTGGTCTTTAAGCTCAGTCTGAGAACAATAAGGCTCTCCAAAAGTTTTTTTAAAAGTCTAGAACCTAAGGACAAAAACAAGTGCCTGTCTCTTTCTCCCTTCAGCAAAACGAACGTTTGAACTGTTTTCTTACATATTCAATTGGATAAACCGGGAAAGGGCTGCTTGAAATATCACCTCCTGCCTAGAAATACCAAAAATAAGCTTATTTGATTCATAAGACAAACAGCTATTAAGAAGGATTTCTTAAAACTTGCCAATTTGTAAGAATTAGTTCCAGTATTTCAATATGCAATATTTTATTTGAAACATATATTTTCTTTTTGCAAACTGTAACTTACTAAAGAATGACTTGATTTTCTGCAATTTTAAGGTTTGAAAAATCAAGGTCTTGAATACTTTGATTTCCTAAATTCATCTAACCACCAGGTGAAAAAATATGTCATTGAAGACTGTGCTGAAAATGCAGGAAATAATACAATATCTATAAACTCAGTTATTTGGAGAAAATATTTGTTTTGATTTTTATAGCTCTAGAAACATCCTTTACCTGATGAGTTACATATTACCATTAAGTACTTGGGCTCAATACTGAACAGTACAAGAAACTGACCAATTTGCGAAAGAATAGTGGTAAGTGCTAACAATGCTTCTTAAAGGTACAGATCCACAGTCCATTAGTATTAAATTTGTAAGACTAACTAGATTTCAGACTGCAGCCTACTTTCTACTGACTAGTTTCAAGGCCTAATGGAACTTCTCCTATGCAAGGAGTTTGAACATTGTGGATTTTGAAATAATACAACCTCAATATATATATAAAATCATGGTTTTGATTTTGTAAATAAACAGAAGGCTATGTAATGATTCCTGGGGTGAAATTTCCATCCATGTTAATTGCTGCATGTATCACTAAACAAGCCAGTCTTATGATTGGTGCATGTATCACTAAACAAGTCAGTCTTATATATTTTTGAGATGTTTATTTTACAGAGTTCTATAAAATAATTCTGAATAAATATCCTTGTTGAGTCTGTGCAACAGGCTCCCCATAATATTTCTACTTAAGGTATTTTTGGGTTTACACATACCATTTATGATCACAAACTTTGTACATATGGGCACTTAAGTGACCAAAGTGAAATTTCAGACTAAGAGTTTTCTGTGTGACTACTCAACTTGGTGCAGTTACTTAAAGCCTTTCCCCATTCTTAAACATACGCACATGTGCACTTGTGTGTGCACACTCATGCATGCATACACACTCAGTAGCTAAGTAAACATTTGTGTTTCATTTCACATTTTTGAAAATCAAATCGCTCTTGGTAGGATAGCTTTGAGGGAGGAAAAGTGTTCCTGATCAATGTTTCGCTCTTCAAATGCCATCCTTTCCAAGAACGACTTGGGTTAGTTGTGAGTTCGCCATCATCACAAAGAAACAGAAACTCTAGCAAGTTAAGAGATCTAAAGACCGAAGACCAAAATGTAAGTCAAGGAAAAATTAGAAGACAAAAAAAATGACTAGAGTATGAAATGCAATGGTTAGTTTTGCACCCAGACACTACAGAATGGCTCAGCAGCTTGTCCTTGTTGGCTTCTACCAAGAATGTCTACCCTTGCACTATATGTCAATGTGTTGAAGTTGTGTGACACTCTGGGAAAGTGGTCTTTTAAAGCTTACATTTGAAGTTAGAAACTTTCTCCTACAATACTGAACTCTGTACAGGGGAGTAATTGGTTGTAAGTTCTCCTTAGTGTGAGAGCAGATTTATGAAATTTTTGCATCTGTATGTTACACAAGGAGGAAATCCAACCACCGCCCTTGGCAATTAGGCAGAGTTTAGAGCAGTAACAGCTTGAACACCGATTTGTCTCATTTCATCCCAGCTCTATTGACAGTATCAGTGACTTCTACTTCAGTGCAAACTGCTCCTGTCCAGATACACCTTGTACACTGTACAGCTTGCAGTTAGACAATTTTGTACTATCCCAATGTTACTTATGATGTAAAAGCTTTAAAGTATTACAGTCTGCACTCACTCTCTTGAGAGAACTGAGGAAAAGCAGCAATGGAATGTTAAAATTCCTAATAAATAATTCATGTATCATGTTAAAAATTACAAGAGAAAGGATTAAATTGGCTCTCTTTCTCTTTTATAAATCTAATGTTTCTATTCCTTCTACAACATCAGTAAGATCTTTGTTTCAGGTTTCACATTAAAAGAGTGATGTTTAGAGGCAATAAAAAGCAAAAAACACCATAGGAACATTACAAAACTAACAAATGTTTAGCTTTTTTCCATGGTCTATACTCAGGGGGGAAAAAACTGTAAGGAATCTTATCCAGGTGTGGATAAGGAAGTTCTCCGTTGTTACTCAGGAAGTTTTAGCATCATGACTTCGTTCTTCATTTTGAAGTACTGATTGAAGCGAACAATTGCATACCTATGGGGAAAATGTAAAAATATCAAATCAATTATTACCGCTTCTGAGGTACAATTCAACAAGATGTTTCCCACATATTTTTTTGTATAGTGAACCTTAGTTTTATCCTGCCATCTAGTGGTATTTTAGTGCCTTGCACATTTGAAAAATCGGCCAATTCTATTGTAGCATTCAAGTACAGTAGAGTCTCACTTATCCAACGTAAATGGCCAACAGAATGTTGGATAAGCGAAAATGTTGGATAATAACGAGGGATTAAAGAAAAGCCTATTAAACGTCTAATTACATTATGATTTTACAAATTAAGCACCGAAACATGTTTTACAACAAATCGACAGAAAAAGCAGTTCTATATACGGTAACATTATGTAGTAATTACTGCATTTACGAATTTAGCACCAAAACACTGCAATGTATTGAAACAGCTGTGGATCCGGGCAGGAGGCAGACTGCGTTGGATAATACAGAACAGTGGATGAGCGAAGGTTGGAAAAGCGAGACTCTACTGTAGTAGGTAAAGGTTTTCATGCCAAAATGTCAGTTAAGAGTTGATGGAATCATGCTTTTATTTTCCAAGCTATTTCATCCAGTCAAGAGTCAACTGCTCTAATAAACACTGTGAACAGAATTGTTATTACACAGTGATGCCAGAGTATTCTGTAATGTTTCAACCAATGCTTGTTATCAGCATATATTGTATGTTCTTACAAAAGTTTAGACTGGCATGTAGAGTGAACTGAGTAAATATTAAGGTAGAAGGAAATTTTGCTTCAAACAATTGAACAGCAGGTGGATGAACACCAATATTTATTTCTATTATTTTAAGCACTTTCAAGATTTGGAAACTATTTGCAGAGGCAATATATCTTTCAATAACAAGCAGGTATGGATAATCCGGAGTTAATATTTCATGTCTCAAACCTAAACATTACATCTGTGCTTCAAAAACTATTCACAGAAGTATAATCTGACATCAGAACAAAGGCTGTGGTTTTATACACATTTCCTGGGACTAAGAACCAGAGAAATCATTTGGGACTTTATTCTGTGTAAGGTGTGCAAGGTTGTGCTGGCAGTTACTTACCCTAGAAAATCAAAGTCAATGGTAGAGTATTTGGCTTGAATTAGGGCCCACAATCCCCAGAAGAAATGAGAAGCCTATAAAGTAAAACACAACAGTAAAGTCTGTTAGTTGGGATCATAGCCTTTTGTGGATGGTGTTATACTCCATCTGAAAGATCAGATTTATAGCTTGGGGATGGTCTTGCATGAAGGCCATGCTCCTGGAAAGCCACCTTGCCGCAATGCCCAGCTTCAGCTACTGTGATTTTCTTAGGAAAAGCATACTTGGTCACAGTGGTTCATGACTTAGTTGCTACCCAATTAAACTACTCTGCTGAGCTCTATGTAGTGCTGCCTTTGAAACGGGTTCAGAATCTGCAGTTAATGCAGCAGCCAAACTGGCATCAGGTATGCATTTTAGAGACTGGTGGAGATTAGGGCATGGGGAAATGGATTCAAACTACAGGAAAGGACATTTGACCCAAACATTAGGAAGAGCTGTTCGATAGTAGAATATGCTGCTTTGGAATGTGGTGGAGACTCCCTTCTCCAGAGGTTTTTAGATAGAACCAAATGACCATTTGTCAGAAGTGCTTTGATTGCGTGTTTATGGCAGGCGTTGGACTCGATGGTCCTTACAGCTTCCTCCAATTCCATAATTTTATGCTGCTATGGTTCTGCAAGAATACATTGGCTTCTTGGTGGCTGCTCTACAACTCTGGAACACCCTGCTTAGGGAAGCCAGAATGATCACTTCTCTGCTCTCCTTCCGGCGGCAGGCTAAGACCTTTCTATTCAGACAAGCTTTTAAAAATGAAGGTGTTTGTGACCATCAACAGCTGTTGTGCTTTTGTGATGTGATTTTATATGCTTCTATGGTTTTAACATGGATTGTTTTAATATTAATGTTGTTTAATACTGTGTTAATATTTGTATATTTGAAGTTGTACTGAAATGGTTTTAGTTGTGAGCCGCTTTGAGTCTCCGTATGGAGAGAAAAAGCAGGATATAAATATAATAATAATAATAATAATAATTTGCTTCCAAGATGCGGTGCTGACCTACAAAAATGACCTAGGGCCAAGCTATCTGTAAAACTGCCTTCATACAAACTTGCCAGCAATTTTAGATTTTCAGAGGAGGCCCTGTCCAGGGAGACCACATGACGTTATATTGGTAGCTAAACATAACAGGCCTTTCTCTGTAGCAACACAACTGTGGAAATCCCTACATGAAGGTTAGATTGGCCCCATTTTTAGAGCTCCCAGCAGACAGCCAAAACAGTGCTGTTCTACATAGCATTCAATGTTTGAAATTACAGTTTTAACTGCTTTAAAACTGGATGCTAGAGTTTATAAAGATTTCTTTTAGGAGGTTTAAAACATTTATTTTATGTGTTTTAAGAATGTTTTAATCTCTGCATTGTTTAATTGGTTTTTCTTTTGTTTATTGCCTTGGAAGCCCTTGTAGGCTGGGAGGTGATACAGAAATATGGTAGTTTTGATACTTGGCCTGGGGAAAGGATAATCTTGCTAAAAGTAGTGAATTGTTTTGTATTTTCCCAGGTAAAGAAACAAATTGCTTCCCTAAAACGTTCTAGCAGGAAGACTTCACAATAATCTTGAAAGCTATCAAAACATGGCTGTACCAACATGATCTGCTTCACCTATGCAGAAGATGCACTTCTATTTTACCATTCTGCAGAGTAGGAATACTTATTCTTTGTGCAAACATAACCTATTTCAATGCTACTCAAAGTGTTGATCTCTGGAGCAGGGCTCATTCTTGAAATATTGACCCTGTCAAAAAGCTGAAGAGGCCACTTACAACCACAGCTTTAAAGTATGTAGTCATGAAATACAATAATGGGTCGTGCTTTAGCACAGCTGGTCAATCACCAGCAGCAATAGATCTTACCAATCGAAAGGTTCGGAGTTCGAAGCCCAGGTCGGGGTGAGCACCCGACCTTCAGCCCAGCTTACTGTCCACCTAAGCAGTTTGAAAACAGCTGTGAGCTGTGAGTAGAGAAATTAGGTACCACTTAAGTGGGAAGATATTTTACAGCACCACAAAAGAAATACCAGAAAAATGCTGGTGATCAAAGGAAGGAGGAAGTCTGTGATCAAGGCTCTTCATCATAGAGGATGGAGCGACAGCACCCCCCTGTGGGCGGAATCAAGCACAACCTCCAGGACGCCAAAGCCGACATAATACCTCTGTTGTCTATCCTATCTGTTTAACGGCATTGAATGTTTGCTGTGTATGTGTTCTGTGATCCGCCGAGTCCCCTTTGATGTGAGAAGGGTGGAATATAAATGCTGTAAATAACTGTGGCACAACAACCTCTCTTGTACAAGGGAGAAAATTTCCCCAACAATGATTTATTTAAGTCAAACCCAATTACTGGAGTTGGAGGTGGAATCTCATTATAAAAGCAGAAAAGCTTTTAAGAAGAATGAGGGGTCAAGGACTACCTTGAAATCGGTGAGTAACGTACACCTAAGGAAATGCAATATCCTATTTGTCTTCAGGACAGGTGTTAACAATCTTCATGTTTCAACAACAGATTAGACGAACCCAAACGTCACCTCATGTAAGAATTCTGTTATGCTTTTACAGACTTCCACAACTTTTCACAAATAATATACTGCAGATTTTTTGGATCTGCTCTCTAGTAACAGTCAGATAATGAATGTTTAAGATCAATTTACTTCTCAAAAAGCTACAATTGACTCTAATTAGATAAAGATTTTTCCAGTTTTCTTTGTTGTGTACTAACTGCCAACATAAAGATTCCCGACAAAGAAATACATTTCCTTGGTAAAACCTCAATCTTTTTGTATGAAAAGGCAACATCTCAAGTGTGTAAACCAAAGTAGTCTTCAACTTACCAGGGCAAACTGGTTGACTTGGACATAAAGCACTTCAACCTCTTTCTCACTGACATCTGTTCCAAATCCTTTGTATTCCTTATAGGCTTCCAGGTAAGCCCTCAGCCACTTCTCTTGAAGTTTTCTGTCGGGATAGAGGCTATAGTCTACCTCACTCACCCCTAAAAGAGAGGATCTCATTTTAAAAAGAATTTGAAATTTTTAAAGACTGTACAAATGTGTGCATGCCAGGTTATATGTTCTTTGCTCCCTAACTAACTGAACACATTTGTACACACTAAACTTGTGGTACAAATGTGCTGTTATGAGAATGTCAAGGAAATTAAAATGTGCAAATCTAATAGAAAAGAAAAAGAAACCATGGCGTGCTACTTTTGGTAAATTAAAACCAAATGTATCCTAAAGTGAATTGCGCAGGCCTGTCATTTCATAAGAGCGAATACCATAACATATATTATTACTTTGCACATATAGCTCAGCCCATTGGCCACTGGTAAACAGAGTCTGTCATGTTCAGTCTACTATGTAACATCTATAAGAAACCACTGGGATAAATTGTCTAAAGTTTTGGGTCAGATGTCATCAGTATGAAGATGATACCCAGCTCTATTGCTTCTTTCCATCTAGTTCCAAGGAAGCTGTTCCTGTGCTTAGCTGGTGTCTTGCATCTTTAATGGACTAGATGAGGACAAATAAATTGAAGTTTAATCTAGACATCACAGTTCAAAGACAAATATGGGGACAGGGATTTGACTTATTTTAGATGATGTTACATTTCCCTGAAAATGCAAATTTTCAATGGTGCGTGTATACTTGGATTTAATTCTGACCCTGGTGGCCAAATTTCAGCCCCCAGAGTGCTTTCATACAGAGATGACACCAACTGCACTTGTTCCTAGAGAAGTCGACATCTAGGCATCATAGTACATGCCTTAATTACATCATGTTAGGATTATTGAAATGCAATCTATCATGGGACTGCCTTTGAAAACAATTCAGAAACTTCAACTGACCCAAAGAGTTACAGGACGTTTGCTAACTGGAACTGGATATAGGGAGCAATAGCTTCATCTACTGTCAGTTTATTTCCAGTCACAATTCAAAGTGGTGTTCTTGACATACATGGCTTAGGTTCAGGCTCTTTGAAAAATTGTATCCCCCTTTATGAGTCCCTTGGGACTCTATAATTGTCTGGAGAAGCCCTTCTCTCTGTCCCGCCATCTTGTCAAACCCACCTGGTGAGAACGAGGGAAAGGGCCTTCTTGGTGGCTACTTCCAGACTTTGGAACTCTCACCCTAGAGAGGCCAAGACAGGCCTTCCCCATGCTCTCCCTCTGTCAGCAGGTAAACATAATTCTGTTCTGCCAGGTTTTTAACAAAACAACGAGCACCAGGCTGTTAATGCTGTGTGGTACTTTTGAAGGTTTGTAGGGGTTTGTAAGTAGCATTTTAATGCACTGTAAGATTATTAATGTTAAAACAGTTAAACTGTTTTTAATCTTACGTTTTAATCTGATTTTTGTATTGCTTTTAACATTCTTTAGTGACCTTAAATTCCATCATCAGGTGAAAGGCAGAATTTGAACAACAACACACAACAAGTTTTTTTTCCAAGCAGGAAATGATTATACTTCCCACTCTGGTCACTTTTCATTTTGAAAAAAAATGGCACATACAGGATGGTACGCACAGAGAAGACATGCCAAAATGGCCAGTAGCACTCCACAGGCCATTTTGCCATTCTTCCCTTTTGCCAAAAAGAGGCTTCTGGGGTACTGCTTTCACTAGGGAGCAAAAAAGATTCACACAAATCCTAAATGAGCTAGGCATAAATTAATTGCCTTTAATTGCCTGTTCTAGAGAATTCAACACCTGTGTTAAAACCACAGCTTGACTTCTTCCCACCACTTACTGTGCATGCACAAAGGATAAAGAGAAGAACAACAAAGACGCATAGAGTTTAAAATACTCCAATATGGAGCCCTGTGACAGCAATTAATTTAATTCTCATTAACCTGCTATACTCAATCTACTAAACTACCTGCAAATTCATTGAAGTGGTTCCCAATGTCATAAGCCAGGTAATTATATCCACAGTATTCGTAGTCAATGAACTGAACATCACCTACACGAGACACAAAAAGGAAAATTTGTAAGAGTAAGTATAGCACTATACACTGAATCTTTACTGTGCCTTTTAACATTTGTCAATGTGTTCCGGTCTGCTGTGCTCAGTTGCATGCATTTCTAAGACATTCAGGAACAAGACTGTGTTTCTATTTCATTTAAAAGAAATGGGCGTACCGAAAATGTATTTTGATTATGAGTCCATGGAACATAAACTAACATCAATTTTGCTTTCATACCACAGGAGGGCGTCTGTTACCTAATTTTTAAATAGAGATAACTACTTGATTTGTATATTTGTATCATTATTAGCTAGTATATTCAAAGGCAACTTTTAGAAAGTTTAAAACCAGTAGTTTTGCACAAAGAAAGGTGCATGCTGCATCATTTTTGAACTAATATTTCCTTAGTTAAGTGGACTCTTAACTTACCACTTCAACTATAATGCAATATATATATATATATATATATAGTTCCAAATAAGTTGTCTAATACTAGAATAAAAGCTGTAGAATTAACTATTAATATACACTGTTCAGAAACAAGTTATATAAAGGTTCAAATAGCCCTCACTCTTGAGATCTCATGTTTCTCAGATTTTAACTAGAAATCTGAAGAAACCAAGCAGCATTAGGTTTCAAATCAATATCAATATGTTGATAGCTCACATTTTACTAATCTAGGCTTTCATGGGGGGGGGGGGTACATTGCCTTATAATGGTGAACAGCATTTTGCTGAAACATGATGCAGTGTGATCTTAAGCATTAGGTGTTCCCACTGCTGGAATATTTTGCTAGAAATCCTCATCTACATCAGAGAGCTTAAGCAGCCATTCCCTCTTCTAAGGGAACAACAGGAAAAAAAACTGCTGGGGGGGGGGGGGAGGACTTGTAGTAGGTCCTATTCTTTTACAGTATGGCTTTCCAGGATACGACAACGAAGTATATTGTCACACTGAACTGATAAAAAGCAGTGTATATGTGTAGCATAGGTGTGTTATAAGCAAGATTTTCAGAATATATTCAAAACATTTTAAGTTTTTACAGATTCCCATATCACCTTCCTTACATGCCAAAGCCAGAGAGTAATTTATACCCTACAGGCAAATCATGAAATGAATTCTTATACCTTCTAAATGACCACTGTTTCCCACAACCATTCAGGCAATCTTATAATACAAAAACATAGCCCAACTCTTCTTTTGCTATTCAATGGAGCTAACTTTTAAAAGCAGTCCATTTATGTATTTCCCCACATGTTTGCATTTGAAAAACAAAACGATAAAAACCGCAGGTGAGAGGCCTGCATGCATGAAATGTTAAGACAGTTACTTAAGATTAACATTCGTTTTACAATCACGTGTGCGTGCAGTGTCGATAACACCACCAACTAACCTTTGCTTTTTTTTAAAAAAAAATGCTAATTTCCAGTTACAGTTAACAGTATTACAAAATAAGAAAATGAAGCTAAGATACAGATGAGGCTGTTACCAGGCTCCGTGCTCTCCTAGGGGGAGGTGCATGCGAACAAGTGATGCGATAAACCTCCAGTCAGTGCCTGTAAGTAGCACGGTGCACGCCGCCACTTGGCAGCAACAATGGCATACCTAATCTGTAGCAGATGAAGAAAATTTGGCAATCTCATATTCGACAAGACACAAAACTTTAAATAGAAAGTTCTGCATTTCACTGCACTTCCTTTTCCAGACTCACATGACAGTGGAACTCAGCCTTAAATTTAAGTTTTGCAAGAAATACAAATGTTCAAGATGTACTACTGCCTTTCATTTTTGAATTCTATGAAACGTCTCTGTGGTCAAGATCAATTCCATCCATTTCTAAGAGTAATGTCCTTCTGTTTTTATTCCTGGTACAAAGCATAACTGCATGCACGATTAATTCATGAAGAGGACTCATTCTTTACCTAAAAGGAAAGTTTCCCAGGTTCTTGGGGGAGTGGTTTTCCACCTCTTTGAAAGTAGTTAACCTTGTGCTTCCATCAAAGCTATTTCCTCAGTTCTAAGACACATTTTCCCCCTAATATTAATAATAATGTATATTCCACCCTCTCTCCCCAAAGGGACTCATTTCTAAACATCTCTATATATGGGATGTGTCTTAGAATCACGGCTGTTTTTTTATACAAAGCTTTTTTTTCCCTGTTGGGCTACTGGATTTAGTGGGCATCTTACAATCAGTGATATTTTAGACTAAAAAAATAAGGTATTTAAACTGTGAGCAGAGGTATATTTGCAAATATCATTTTTGAAAATCCTATCCCAAATATTTCTGGTTAGAAAATAAATTTTGGGTGTACAAATGATAGGGAGCTACCCTGAGTTCCTTGGGCTCAGCACTGCACTGAATAAAAAATGTTTTCAGAAATATAGCAATAGTTAGGGAAGTGTTCTTTCACAGTTATGGCTATTCAGTTGTGAACATTTTTTCAAATCAGACATATGGATGAGGAAAGGAAATCAGGAGAAGACAAAGATGAAGACATTACACAAAAAGCCACTCAGATAATGAAGACAATCCAGAGAATACAACAGTAGCATATAACATTATTTTCTAGTGCTGCTTCATGAAGATATGGAAGACGGACACTAAGTATTTAGGGCAATTACAATTCTGCAAGCCATTTCTGCAAAAGTGATAGCATTTTTAGATTATGTTGTGCGAAGCAAAACTATGTTTTCTACAGTTCCTTAAAAAGCATGAAATTTCAGGGGAAGAAATCAGATCAGATTTATTTATTGGTTTACCACATAGCTGTGTGAAAATATGTCCAATTACAACCAAAATCTATCTCGGAGCAACTCAGAAAAGCAGCAATAGCTGCTACACATCAATCTAGAAGAGTTACAAAACAATTTCTAAGTGTTCGGGGTTCACCACTATCACTGGAGAAGCTTCAAGACAATGTTATAACCAGACATGGTCATCCTACCAAAATAATCTAAATGAAAATATTGTCTAGGAAAAATATCCCTACAGTAACATACAAGCATATGTTGTGAATGAAAAAAAAATGTCGGAACAGCATCACGTTTGTGTGTCATTTGTTTCATCAGGGCATCTCTGGCTCTGTATGTAGAATTATAGTGTCTGATTGAAGCCTAATTAATTTTTTTGGGAAATGCGGCAAAGGTGTTCACAAACTTTTTCTCCCCATTGAACACAGTGAAATTTATGGTCAAGTCAACATAAATAGGATTGCACTAGAAGAGAGAAATTGATGGGAAAACAGTAGAGTCTCGTTTATCCAACCTTCGCTCATTCAACGTTCTATATTATCCAACGCGGTTTGCCTCCTGCCCGTATCCACAGCTGTTTCAATACATTGTGATGTTGTGGTGCTAAATTTGTAAATTCAGTAATTACTACATAACGTTTTTCTGTCGATTTGTTGTAAAACAATTTTTTGGTACTTAATTTGTAAAATCATTATGTAATTTGACCTTTAATAGGCTTTTCCTTAATCCCTCCTTATTATCCAACATTTTTGCTTATTCAACGTTTTGCCAGCCCATTTATGCTGAATAAGTGAGACTTTACTGTGCATTCAGCAAAGAAAAAAAAATGAAACTCAACACACGTACAGCCAATTCTTTGATAGAGTAAACACAATGAAACAAAGCGGTTTAAAAAAAAGAAGAGTGTCAGTGTACAGTAATTCAATGGGTGGAACATGGGGAAATAAAGTTCAAAATCTTTGCTCAGTCACATTTTTTACTGCATGACTTTCAGCCAACCACTCTCAGCCTACTGTATTCTAAAATGTTATTGTGAGAATAAAAAGGGGAGGCGGACCTTGAGCTCAGTATATTGCTGCGATTGAAAAACTAACAAATATAAATAAACTCTCCGTAGAACTAACTTAATACTAATGTACTCTAAAAATTAATACTGCTCACTCTGCTATTTATTAATAACTAAGAAAAAAGGGAACAATTTAATTTATTTTGATATATCTGGGCCTGACATTTCACCTATAAAATCAAGCTGGATGGCATCATAACCATGTTAAACAAAGTCCATATACAAAATTTAAAATGTCAGTGGGAATCACTCTCTTTTCAGTTAAAGTGATACAATGGATTTCACATTGCTAACTTTTAACAGAGATAAAATTAAAAGGGTTGACCAATGATGTGGTACATTTTTTTTTTTTTGACAGTAAAAAATCTTGCAGGAGAAAATATTGTAAAAGAAAAGAGTACGGAGTAAATCACATCTGTATTCTGCCTCAAGTAGCTTTTTCGCACGTCAGTGACACTAGCACCATGTTAGAAATTTGTGTTTTACTGCATGTCCAGCTAAAGTTAAATTTAAAGCTGAGTTTCCACTGCTAAAGTTGTTCCTTTTAAAACTATGTATCAATTCCATAAACATTGTTGCCCAATACAAGACAATACACAGTTTTAGTATTTTACTCATGGTTTATAAAGTCCAAGATTAAAGCAATGCTCAATATTTTAGCACTGCAGAAATCTTAAGCAATCTTAAGAAATCTTAGGGCTAATTCACAAGATGTCCTCAAGTGAGAGTTAGCAAATGATAGTAACACCTATCATTTGATAACTACAACTACCACGTAGAAAAGATGGACACCTGAGATCTGCCCTTACTGTGCATGTGTTGTGCGACGATATTTTTTTAAACTTCATTGTTACTTGATACAGTTTAGCTACTACATACACTTATGCAAACAATTACCCATACTGAGAGATCTCCCTTTACCCCTCCCTGTTCCCAAACGCTAAACACTCACACACTGGTTTTGTAGAAATGCTCCTAATTGATGTATTGCTCTCATTGATTTATTCTCCATTCTGTTTACAAAAGAAAATGACAGCAGATTCGTTTCAAAAGTGTGAAAGTTGGGCTTGACGCTCTTCAAGTGTGAATTTTTTTGTCTTGATGCTTAACGAAAGAGGTGTTCTGTCATGAATAGGTCTTTGCAGAACAGTCAGTGTTCTCCAATCTGATGAAACTATTCTCATTGTATCAACCAAGTTTTGTTCTCTTTCCAAACATATGTCTGGACTTGAAAAGTCAATTCTAAGGAGTACAATCTAGGCAGTTTTCCAAAGGGTGGTGAGCATGCTAGAAGAGGAGATACAATATATTAACACCCAGTCAGTGCTGGAATCCCAAAGACAGATCTATGGGAAGTGATGCAATTTTAATTTAAAAATAAAGGAAAGATTGGGAGAAATTTGATCGATTGAAATAGAAAGGATGAAAAACAATAGGAATTTTTAATTGTACAGAATTTATTTAATAGTATGACAGACATGAAAAGATACCTATATTTTCCATAATCTGATTAGATATTTACCATGTCAAATCAACCTTTGGGCTAGGAAAATTCAAATAATAAACTAGGAAATTGAAATGTGTGTCTTTACTAAGTAGTCTGCTTCATTAGTAGTAGAGAACTATTGCAGAGAAGATGTTGAAAACGCTCTAGCTGAATGTGTGGTTTTCTTACAGCAGTTTATATGGGTCACATTTTATCTATTTTTAACTCCTAACAAAGCTAACCATGATTTCAACATAACATTATTTAAACTGTTTTTCCTTTGCTATTTTCCTTTCTAAATGAGCAATCCAGGTTGATTCTATTAACAGATAGACCTTATGCAGAGGAACAATGGTTCCTGCAAGCCAGTCTGCAAGTCAGGACCAATCTTTAGGTGTGCAAATCCTGCTGCTCCTCCTTGGCTTCTAAATATTTCTTTATCCTTTGCCAGTATTAATTATGGTCTGTACTATATGCTTAATGGTCATAATGTTCTTGTGTAAGCACTGTTTGAACATTTCAAGTTTTTCATTCAGTCTTAGGTTTATAATGTCACTTGTCTGAAGTGGAGCACCTGCAATGCAAAACCCACAATGAATGCCAAGAAGAGAAAGAGGAGTGACTCTGGAAAGGGCAGGAAATATGCATTCCCAAGGCTGGCTTTTTACTTGTTCTAGTTAAAGTATCATTTAATAACCAATTATCTCATCACCAAGATTAACACTGAATGTATTATAAGCTACAGATGTTTCATTTCTTAGAACAAAATATTCCTTTTAGAAATTCCAATACTGATAGTAAAAACAAGTCTAATTAGCCAGTTTATAGAAGACTTCCAACCTCCAATATATTTACAAAAAAATCTTCAACTATAAAGATACCTATGTACCTCATCAGCAGGATATAAACAGAGTCTTGGAAAGTATCTTTCCAGATACTTCACCATGAAGAATTCCTCGGTGGCATCAACATATCTGATAAATCAGAATACAGAGATAATACACAGTAACCTGGAAACATTTGCTCCCAAGGCTGATGCAAACAGTTAAGTTTCGATCAAAGACACTTAAGACTATACCTAACCCTAAAATTTTCTGTTGTCAACATAATACAATATTAGACTGCTATATGCAGGAAAATATTCTTTTCTGCAAGCCCTCATGTATTAAATAGAATACAATTATTAAAACAATATTTAAAACAAAAGTTACTATGGCATTGAAATTAGCATCAAGCATCAAATGACGAATTACAAACAACTGTAAGAAATTTAAAACAAAGATCAGTTATAATTATCCACCCTCCCCAAGCTACTCCCGTGTTTAAGCCAATACAAAACAAGCCTTAAAGGTTACTTACAGTAGTGTTCAGTACCTACCTTGTTTTCCATTGTAGATTATATTTTTGCACAACAGATCATTGTGACAAAGTACCACTGGAGAGCCCAGATTTGACAGTCTCTCTTTCATCCAAGCCATTTCTTCCTGAAGGATTTGACGATTTGGGATATCTTTTAGAAACCTTTTAAAATTCAAAAGAGAAAAAAGTTCAATTAGCAGGAACTGTGCCCTTAGACATATGAAGTGGAAAATTACTCTCACAAAAATGTTCAGTTGTGGAGTGCTATGAAAATAGCTCTCTATAGGCATAGAATCCCACATATAAACATGAAGGAACTTTTTTATCCTTAAATCTGGGCAGCTTTCTCCAGTTTCATTAATGAGCTTTAGAGTAACAATCATGGAAATAGTTTAGATTAGTGGTGAGATGGGCTTTTTTTTCTTTTGTCCTAAAAGTCAAACTTAATTTGAAAATTATGCCATCTGCTATATGCCAGAAACATGTGGAACATAGGGGCAAATTACATAGAGCCAGAATGGCTGGGGCCAAATGTATACCTTATAGCATGGGAGTTTCCTACTATGTACACTGGCACAGTCCAACTATTTGCACATCTATTCAGGAGTAAACCATAACAGACCACTTTGCAAGCATATAAAGAATGTCAATTCTATGACAGATATTTAAAAATAGGGTATCATTGTTCATTGGTAACTATTGGTTTGTAGGAACTCTCATCAGCCATATCCAGCTTGCATTCCCCATCCCTGGTGTAATTATTACTTACCTTTTGTGCAAATCCTTATCTACAAATTCTGTTGGTATAAGAGAGAAATATTTTCCCATCTTCAGCCACATGTTAGACTTGGGTATCCATCCATTGTGAGCATGTATAGCATGAATTTTTGCAAGCTGTCTGGCTATTAGCCTGGAAAAGATTAGAATTAATACTACTATAAAAATAAAATTTAACAATAGTTACAGAAATGTTTTCATCAGTCTCTTTACAGAACACTTTAATTTTTTATTTATAATGTGATGGCTTATTAGCTGACTATGTGTGGAGATGACAAACTGTTGTTACTGGTATGGAATGTCTTAGCCTTCAATGCAACAATCACCTTCAATCAACATCATACTTTTCAAGTCTCCCATCTTATTATGAACTATCAGCACTTACTGTAATTTGTTGTTTGGGCTTGGCCTTATGTAAGCTGCCCCGAGTCCCCGTTGGGGGAGATGGTGACGGGGTATAAATAAATATTATTATTGTTATGCTACAAAAACATTTATGATATACAAAACATCTTTGTGGTTTCTTCAAACTCTATGATTCTATGATCTTGACAATTTCTTTACTAAGAGGAAATGTAATGATGGAGACAAGAAAGACAAACCAGAAAGAACATAAGAGGTATAAAAATGATGCATGATGTGGAGATGCTGGACTGAGATTTTCTTGCTCTTATATAATACTACAACTTGAGGTGAAGAACTATGGGGGAGACTAAGGCCAGGCAAAATGTAGTATTCCCCCTCCAGAAAATGACTACAGAATTTGCTGCTACAAGATGACTGTATGCTACTTCCAAGTGAAGGGCAGCTTGCTTCTCGACACCAGGCTCTGTTAATTAACACCTGAAGAGGGTTTTAAACTTTCATATCCTGGTGGCTATCTTTCCATAGGCAATGGTTAACAACTGTGGGAAATAAGACATTAAATCTGACATGATTTTTGTCTGATCTCATCATAATAGTCAATTCAAACAATTTAGCACAAATGCAATCTGGAAATTGCAAAGGCCAGAACACCACAGAAAAAAGCATTAGGTATCACCAGTCTTAACAGAAATGATTGAAGAATTAGTCTATGATAACAAAAAAAAAACTGCATTCAAGACAAAGCCATAAAAACCTGGGAAATATAGAACATAGCAAGTTAGAATGATTTCAGGCAGGAATCCAACTATTTGAAGAGGTTATTGTAATGCATGTGCACATTAATAGATATCATGTTCACACTTGAAGAAGGAACACTGTAGATGGGAGCAATTCTGGTCACAACATAAGGAACAAAGGAGAAAATATTTTTAAATAGCCCTAGGAGATTTTTGGATGACAACCTAAATAAATAAATAAGTAAATGGCACTAGTTTAGAGAAATGGAGTGACATGAAGTACCAAAAACGAAATGAGTGGTGCCAAAGAACTTACCGAAATATCTCTGGGTTGCAAACATGTTCTGGATCCAGAGCTTCACCTTGCATAAATTCATAGCACAGGCCATTATTGAAAGTACAGTAAAGCTTTGGTGCACAGCCATGGGCCTGTAAAACACGGAAGCTTTTCAATTCTTCATCTCGATCAACTAACAGCTCTGTTTTATTTCCATAAATCCTAACAAGGACAACATCATCCATTTCTTCACCCTTGTAACAGCCAATAAGTTTATTGGTGATGCCATCCGTAAATACCTGCAAAGGAATAGAAATAAAGATTCAGTTATACAACACACTACCTTTTGGATCATAGTCCTGAAAGTAGCTTACAATAGCTGCAGCAATGGATTGACTCCAAAGTTATCCATTTATTTAGTCAAGTCCTTCTATTAACACAAGTACCTTTGAAAGAGGAGAGGTTTTCACAAATGGAACTGAGGAGGGGGAAAGATATAATTATAATTTATTATTAACATCTTCCACAGCCCCAGGTATCGCCTCCATAAAAAGGTTGATCTATCACCTATAGCCATTCCTCAATTGAGATAATCTGTTTCACCAGATCAGACTAGCTAGGTATCAAAGGAAATCCAGGTGAATGCACAAGAAGGCTGGACTGCCCCTCATGGATCCGGCCTTTTCCTGCCTGCCTGACCAGGAAGGCAGGTAGCAGAGGGTATGATCCGTGAAAGGCTGCTCAAGCCATTTGCCAGGCTCACATCATTCCCATGGAAATGGTAGAGGCCTGGTGAATGTCCAAGGAGGCTGGGCTACCCTATGAGGATATGGAGGGCCCTACACTGCCTTCCTGGTCAGGAAAAAAGGAAAGAGAGGGATGGGGGAAGGGAAAAAAGGGGAAGGACAAAAAAGGGAAGGAGGGAGGATTACAGGAAGGAAAGAAGGGAAGGAGGGAGAAAGGAAGAAATAATAAAAGAGATGTAGGAAAAAAAGAGGGAAGGGAGGAGGAAGGAGGGAAGAAAGAAAGAAAAAGAATTCAGAAAGCATGTTGTAGTGGTTTTAACTTTGGACAATAGGTCCAAAGTTAAAACCACTGAGTAGCTTTAGGTAAGTAACACTCTCTCAGCCTCAGAGGAAGACAAAGGCATATCCCTTTTGAATGAATCTTAACAAGAACGCTCTGTGATAAATATGAAATGTCTTGAAGGCACACATCAACAACAATCCTAATTAATTATTTATTATACTTTAACTGGAAATCCTCTTGCGGCCACAAGAGGATTAGCCTATTTAATTTCAGCCCTTACTACTCAGTGTGCAGGCCTGTTTTAATGTTTACTGTTATGCAGTTACCAGTTTTAGGCAGCAGAGGCTGCTGTGGTTGTGACTATACACCAAACCTATTGCCATTTCATTAAGTCACAATGAAGCAGTGGTCAGGATAACATTACTGTATACTCTTTTAGGAGTTGGAAGAACAGGGAAGGAAGGGGAGCAAAAGCCCCTTACTGACTGTACCAGACAGATGCACTGAGCTGTCAAGATTGCACATCCTTCATCTTGCCCCATCCCCATCTACATTTTTGAAAAAGCAAATCACACTACCCCATATCTAGTGTCACAGCATTATAGAGTTGAAAGGGCTGAGAGCGGTGGTTAACAAATGCAATAAATAAATAAATAAATAAATAAATAAATAAAGAGACAAGACCATACAGTCCTGTCCCTTACTATGCAAGAAAAAAAACATCCAAAGCACTCCCAACAGATGACCATCCACTCTATCCTTAAAAACTTCAAGGGGAGACTCGACTGAGCTCCAGGGCAGCATATTCCAATACCAAATAGTTCTTATTATTAGGAAGTTCTTCCTAATGTTTAAATGATATATCTTCTACTGCAATTTGAATCCACTGCTCTGTGTCATAGTCTCTAGAGGAGCAGAAAACAAGCCTGCCCCCTTCTTAATGTGAAATCATCTCAAATATTTAAATTTGGCTACCATATCTCACCCTTGTCTTCTTTTCTCCAAGCTAAACTTGTCCATACCCCAAGTCTCCCCTCATAGAGCATGGATTCCAAGCTTTTTACCAGTTTGATTACCATTTTAAGGGCATGTTCCGGCTTGTCAATATCCTTCTTGAACTGTGATGCCCAGAACTATACATGGTATTTCAGGTCTAATTCCACTCATAACATGATTACAATACAGCATATCTTATACTGGTCCACATGGTAGAGAAATAATTTCTATTGTGTTTCCAAATCAGAAGGAGGGGGGCACACAACTAGCTCTTGGTTTTCCCTCTCAAAAGTACAGAGGCCAATATTTAATTGCTACTCAAATACATCATTGAGAACTGAGGGTCATTCAAGAATTAAGTTTCACTGATTGAGTAGGTCTTCTTTACTTGGAAGAACAACTTTTTCCCCCCTTGGTGGTATGGCTCAATTTTGGTCTATGTCATATAGTCACAACAAAACATGAATTACTTATAACATGATAAACAGTCTGATAATTAAAATGTATCCATGTAAGTGATGAATTATTACATCTTTATTTTAGCATTCCTCCAGAGTCATTACAACAGCCCTGAGAATTTGGGTTAGGCAGTGAGGTCAAGGAACTGACTCAAGTACAACAGCTATTTCTTCTAGCTCTCATATCATCCTGAAGTCTTAAACATTCCACTGACTGCCCATTGTTTCTCACTGAAGTGGTAAAATCTTCCATTTTTAAAACAATTGTTTCATACAAGAAATATTCAAGTTTTGAGGTTTATAACTGAAAAGCAAGTGTGTTCTGCGTCTGAAACTGGTAAGAGAGCATAAGTCAAGAGGGAGTGGATTGCTCCTTTATATCATCTAGAGCAGGGGCCCTCAAAGTTTTTAAACAGAGGGCCAGGTCACAGTCCTCAACTGTTGGAGGGCCGGATCATAATTTGAAAAAAGCATGAATGAATTCCTATGCACACTGCACATATCTTATTTGTAGTGCAAACAACTCTTTAAAACAATACAATAATTAAATTGAAGAACAATTTTAACAAATATTCACTTAGTAGCATTTCAACGGGAAGTGCGGGCCTGCTTTTGGATGATGAGATAGGATTGTTGTTGTGTGCTTTCAAGTCATTTCAGACTTAGGTTGACCCTGAGCGAGGGCCGGGTAAATGACCTTGGAGGGCCGTATCCGGCCCCCGGGCCTTAGTTTGAGGACCCCTGATCTAGAGAATATTGACCACTGAAGTTGTACTTCCACAACTGTGGGTTTAATCTTTAAAGAATTGATTATGAACAGATTAGTTAGTCCCATGCTCGCTGCTGCCCTATACCCATCTTAGGTTGAGTTTGGGTGCTGCACAGAGCTCAGGTGGGATGGCAATAACAGGAGGAGATAAAGGCAGTAGAAAGAAACAGTAGCAGCACTAGTTCTGTCCGCACTAGAGACTGCTCACCCTCCTTCGCTCCACTCTACTCCCTCCGTCCCATCCCTTCCACCCCATAGCTACCTAAGCAAGTGGGAAGTGCTAAGGCCAGCCACCCTAAAAGTACTGGTACTATTCTGTGTGTGCTGAATATGCAAATAAAACATGCCAAAGCAGATCACATTCTATATAGAATACTTGAAATATCCCAAATTCTTTTTCAGTCCTCCCCCACCCACCCCCCTTGGGAAATACTACATCACTGCCTATTTCAAAATGTGTGATATTAAGCTAAAAATGAAAATTGAAATCATGTATTTATGTATGGAGCCCCCGGTGACGCAATGGGTAATACGGAACAATGGATAATGAGAGTAGATTCTGATTATATTGTTGAGGCATTATGATTGTTATACTGTTGTTAATTGTTGATGTTATAAACTGTTTTAATTGTATTATACTGTTTTGTGATAATTTGCATTGTTGTGTAAACCGCTTTGAGTCGCCTAAGGGCTGAGAAAAGCGGTATAGAAATAAATAAATAAATAAATAAATAAATACATAAATAAATAAACTGCTGAGCTGCTAAACTTGTTAACTGAAAGGTCAGAGGTTCGAATCTGGAGAGCGGTGTGAGTTTCTGATGTCAGCCCCAGTTTCTGCCAACCTAGCAGTTCGAAAACATGCAAATGTGAGGAGATCAATAGGTACTGCTCCAGCGGGAAGGTAACGACGCTCCATTCAGTCATGTTGGCCACATGACCTTAGAGGTGTCTACGGACAACACCGGCTCTTCGGCTTAGGAATGGAGATGAGCACAACCCCTAGAGTCGGACGCGACTGGACTAAATGTCAAGGGAAAACCTTTACCTTTTATGTATAAAGCAAATAGGAAATAATAAGATATTAATATTTCTGTATTAATTGTGAAAATGCCATTACCTTATTTTACACTTTAATATGTTCAAAAACCTTGAAAAGTGGACGAGCAACAGAGGGCTGCATGTTGATTCAAGGCCATATTAACAAAGCATGAACCAAAGACATCTCTCCCAGGTCGGCACTGTAGGGATCTGAAGTGTCTAAAATATTGCAAATTTTTATGCTACATTAGGTCCTATATAATGGGGGAAAGGCAAAATATAAATTATAAATTATAATATAAGCAGGGAGGAGGGATATCACAAGTTGAGGGTGGTCACGAGAACAAATGTCAGCAAGGGACACTGGCTTAGACTCCCTCCCTTTTCCAAAGATTGGTGCACCAGTCAGGAGAAAAGGCTAGGCTAGTTCATTTTACAGGCAATCCTCAAGTTATGAACAAGATATGTTCTGTAGATCTGTTCTTAAGTTTAATTTGTTTGTAAGTCAGAACAGGTACCTTTTTTCATGGTAAGTTCAGTCAAATATAGATATATATTAGCTTTGGATAGCATCAGGAAGCGTTAACACCCCTGTAGTGTTTGTTTTGCTGTCTGTGCCAGCTCGCTTTCTGTTCCTGTGATAATCAGATTTGGAAAAAAATGGCTCGTGGAAACAGGGATTGGCAATAAAGGTGGAGACACCTTTACCCCATGATAACACTTTCAGGAGTGAATTTCCCAACCTAGGGATAGATTTCTCTCACTTCCTACTGTCTCATCCCTGTTGTTAACTGTGAGTCATTTGTAAGTTGGATGTTTGTAACTTGGGCACTGCCTACATAATCCTTACTCAATTTCCTGAGAGAGAAATGGTTGCTTGTCAATAAAGGGCATCTCAAGGCAAAGGAAAGATGGCAGCAGCCAAGGGACATGTGGTTCCCAAGACTGAAGTCTAATCTTTTGCTAGAGTAGCAAAACTAGAGAGGATTCACATTTACACTAACAA